AGGTTTGGGGACATGGGGACACTGTGTGTCCCCAGCATCTCCCGTGGGTTTGGGGTCCCTCTCACAGTGGTGCCCGTCCTGGTCCCCACTCCTGGTCCCCCCCAGATTTGGGGTCCCTGTAGCTTGGGCCAACACCGCGTTGGCTTCTGTGGGTTTGGGGGCTCCCATTGCACCAGGAACTGTCTCGTCCCATCCCATCCATCCCATCCCCATCCCCTCCTCATCCCCATCCCATCCATCCCATCTCCATCTCTTCCATCTCATCCCATCCCACCCTTCTACTTGTCCTCCTCCTCCTTCTCCATCTCCATCCTCTCCCCATCGTCATCCCCATCCCCTCATCTCCATCTCCACCCCATCTCCAATATCTCCATCCCATCTCCAATATCTCCATCCCATCCAATCCCATTTCCATCATCTCTGTCTTCATCCCCATCTTGATTTCCATCCCCATCATCTCCATCCTCATCCCATCCCAATCCCAACCTTCTCCTTCTTCTTTCTTCTTCTCCTCCATCTCCATCCCATCCCCATCTCCATCCCATCCCACCCTTCTCCTTCTCCTTGTCCTCCTTCTCCATACCTATTCCCTCCCCACCTCCATCCCACCCCATCCCATCATCTCCATCCTATCCAATCCCATTTCCATCATCTTCATCTCCCTTCCATCCTACCCCACCCCATCCCCATTTCCATCCCATCTCCAATATCTCCATCTCATCCCAGCCCATCCCATCCATCCCATCTCCATCCCATCCAATCCAATTTCCATCATCCCCATCCCATCCTTCTCCATCCTCTTCCTATCTCCATCCCATCCCATCCCACCCCATCATCTCCATCCCAATCCCATCCTATCTCCAATATCTCCATCCCATCCAATCCCTTTTCCTCCATCATCCCCATCCCATCTCCTTCTCCATCCCATTTCCATCATCTCCATCTCATCCCTCTCATGTCCATCCTCATCTCCAATATCTCCATCCCAACCCCATCTTTATCTCCATCCCATCTCCTCCATCCCCTCCATAATCTCCATCCCCATCCCATCTCCTCCTTCTCCATCCCACCTCCATCCCCATCACCATCCATCCCCATCCCATTTCCATCATCTCCACCTCAACCTCCATCCCATCCATCTCTATCCTCATTTTTATCTCCATCATCCCCCTCCCTATTCCCATCCATCCCATCCCACCCCATCCATCCCATCCCATCCATCCCATTATTCCCAGTCCATCCCATCCCATCCATCCCATCCATCCCATTATTCCCAGTCCATCCCATCCCATGCCATCCATCCCATCCCATCATTCCCAGTCCATCCCATCCCATCCATCCCATTATACCCAGTCCATCCCCTCCCATCCATCCGTCCCATCCATCCCATCCATCCCATCATTCCCATCCCATCCCATCCCATTATTCCCAGTCCATCCCCTCCCATCCATCCATCCCATCCATCCCATCCATCCCATCATTCCCATCCCATCCCATCCCATTATTCCCAGTCCATCCCCTCCCATCCATCCATCCCATCCATCCCATCCATCCCATCATTCCCATCCCATCCCATTATTCCCAGTCCATCCCCTCCCATCCATCCATCCCATCCATCCCATCCATCCCATCATTCCCAGTCCATCCCATCCCATCCCATTATTCCCAGTCCATCCCATCCCATCCATCCCATTATTCCCATCCCATCTCCATTCCCTCCTCACCCCTCATTCTTCTTTCTTCTTCTCCTCCTCCATCTCCATCCCATCCCACTCTTCTCCTTGTCCTCCTCCTCCATACCTATTCCCTCCATCCCATCCCATCCATCCCATCATTCCCAGTCCATCCCATCCCATCCAATCCCACCCCATCCCATCCATCCCATTATTCCCAGACCATCCCATCATTCCCAGTCCATCCCATCCCATCCCCGCAGCCTTCATGCGCGAGGAGATGTCCCGCCGCCAGGAGGCCGAGCTGCGCCGCAGCCACCAAAAACCCCGCAGCCCCGAAGGGTGGGGGCTGCTGCTGGCCCTGTGGTACCTGGCTTTTTACAAACCCATCATCACCGAGAGCCACCTGAGGAGGAAGAACATCAGCTTCATCTTCATCCGCTTCAGCGCCTGGCAATACGCCGGCTGTGACAAGCTGTGGGCCGGCCTGGTCACCACCCTGTGCGACAGCGTCCGCCAGCATTTTCGGGCCCTGCCCCTCAGCGTCTACCACGTGGTGGGGACCAGGCCCCGCTTCGCCTCGGGTTTCAGCCAAAAAGAGTGGGTCCTCAAAAAGGGAACCTGCTTCAAGCTGCTGGGGCTCCTCTTCGTCCTCGCCGTCGGCATCGCCATCCTCTTGGTGGCCCTTTTGGTGCCGGGGATTAAGGACCACGGTGCTTTGAAGGCGCTGGGGGGGGTCATCGCCTCCATCTCCGGCTCCAGGTTGGTTTTGGGGTTCGTCTCGGTCCTGAAAAACCTCCTGGTGAGCGAGAAGAAGAAGATCGAGCACTTGACCAACAGCGACAAATTCGCCAGCCAGTTGGGCTTCATGAGCAAAGTCCGCAACGAGGTGGAGGCCCTGGTGGATTTCCTGACCTTCATGGAGATCTTCGAGCGGCGCCGGCTCCGCGTGGTGCTGGAGATCACCAGTTTGGACATCTGCTTCCCGGAGAAGGTGGCGGGGGTCCTGAATGCCATGAACACCCTCTTATCCGACGCCAACACCCCCTTCATCTTCATCCTGGCCGTGGACCCCAGCGTCATCGTCCCCTGCTTGGAGCAGACGGGGTGCATGAAGGGGCTGGCGGACAACGGGTACCTGTACCTCAACCGCACCGTCACGCTGCCCTTCTCCATCCCCGAAATGGGCGCCCGCTCCCGCCTGCGCTGCCTGGAGGCCGCCGTGCAGACGCGGGAGGACCTCATGTACCGCATCATCACCACCAACATCGAGCGGCGCCGGGCCAAGTGTCACCAAGCGGCGGCGGTGACAACACCCGACC